TTTAGGATTTAACTCCTTTGCCTTCTTATACAAAGCTTGAGCTCCAATAAAACCGGTTTTTGGATCATAGTAGAGTTTCTTCAATAGCGCGACCATGATCTTTATTTACAACAAAATAACCCCCAATGGTTACCTGCTTAAATATCAAGTGGTTCAGTCGTGATACCATCATCGAGTACTCGTCGTTTGTCATAGTAGTAGTTAAGCGCTGTTTTATTTTGAGTATAGGTGATGATAGACTTGGTTCCTTTCGAGAGTCTGAACCCCTAGTTTGTACATTGTAGCGTGATGCGATCCCGTACAACAGTCTCAAACCCATCGGGAAAAATGGACACTATTGTTTCGACCACCTCCCTGCTGAATATCCTTCGCTGAAAATCCTACCTTGTAAGACTTGTCGGGTAGAAAGCAAATATAGTTCTTACTTTAGAGTGAAATCATAGCATCACCTGACCATTCATCTTTGAACAAACCAGGAGTACGGCGATCAAACTCAGCTACCTCAGTGTTGTAGTCGCGTGGGAACCAATCGTATTTGTGCTCCTTGAAGTGGGTTCGTAGCTCAGGTTTGTTCCAGTCTTGTAACGGATTCTCACAGCTGAAAGCGATATAAGCTGGATCAGTGTCCTTCTCCTGATACTGGAAGTCAGAGCGATCGAAGTAGAAATATATGCAGTCATAGTAAAACTGTAGCAACGTCGCTTAGCAAGCTGATAGAAAGCAATCGATAAATGGATTGGGTTCTTCTTATCAAGGCGGCGTTTCTTCATGGTGATTTCACACGCATCACTAAGCTCTTCCAACCCATGGAATGTAAAGTGTATAATCTTGTTCTCAATAGCTTTGTCGCTCGACTTTTACTTTACCCCTTTATGCTTGCTCATATCCATTCCAGATCGACCAAAAGCACAGCTGCCTACCAGTTCCATCATCTCGGCAATCAAAGCATTGGACTCATCAAGATCACCCTCTCGCCGGGCGTTTGATACAGCCTCCATAAATGGAGCATAAGCTTTAATGGAGTTCGCTTTGATGAAGCTGTAAGTCTTGGTGATCCCCAAACAGTGATCAAGATACCACTTCAATAGCGGCGTATAAATGAGTATCTGCTTATCGAAGTACCTACCGATTAGCTTACGACTTGCTTTAGCCGGTTATGAGGTGATATAAGCATCTTCATCGTAAATACCTGTACGTTTCTTAGCACGTGCCTCATCAAGCAGCTTCTTACGTTTCTCATTGTATTTGAACATATGCTTACCAATGACCTCTTCAGTTGGCTCTATCTCAGTGTTCTTGATAATCGGTGTTATCTCACTGAAATAGCCTTTCAAATGCTTAGGTATTTCAATATCACATTCAAGAAAGCCGAATACCTTGTGTGCTTTGATGTCATCGATGATACCGTCATACGCTTCAACCGTAGTCAATCGACCGCATGGCATCTCATTACCAAGGGCCCATAGGTATAGAGCGTTCGCGTCGTATCAGATAATTTTCTTATAGACCTTACCACCGCGAATCTTCGTTTCATTACGATGAGCGTAGCGATTGTGGCCTTAATCTTAAGTAGACATCCTTCTCCTCCTGGTCGATCGAGTAGACCAGTCTATCCGAGTCGAACTCGAGCAACTTCTTATACCGAAACCCCTTATGCGACATGTCTTTTCAAGAGGTGTTGCACGTAACGCAGCTGACCAACATATTACCGTCGATGTGGCCAACATTATTGTTGATACGATCCGCTAAAGCGGTATCAGTAGTCAGCTGACGGTAGCATAGACTGCACAGATACTTTTGCTTTTGCAGCAATGTATCCACATGCTCGAGTGTCATACCAAATTTTCATTTTGCCATAGCATACTGACTCTTGTAGCCAGCCATGCGCTTAGCTGGAAATTGAAATGCTTACGCAGCTTTCTTATCCGGATATCGGAGATTATTGAAGCAGGTCTGGTGCATGACCTTCTCTGCAAGACCAGGTAAGGACACTCCATCCGCAAACATATCTAGATCGAAACGCTTGGGAAAATCTCGTTGAGCCTTAATAGCCTTGATGAATAGGACTCCGTCGAGATTGTTGTACCAGATCAACAGATCCTTGATCGATTTCATCTCTTAGTACTCCCGCACGAACATTACTCGTTTGTAGTCATCGTTGGTGATGCTTGTTCCTCGGAGTTTGCTTCAAAAGCTGACTTAGGTGGAATGGTAGTCTGGCTAAGTACATTGAACGCGGTGATGTATTCGTAAAGAAAAAAACCCTTACCTGTCATCACATTTGCAGCCACCGAGATATACTGTAAGATACTTGTCGTAGCTGGTACCAGCTGGTTCGTAATTAGTGATATCAAGCATTTTCATGTCCGATGTTGCGATGCACATGTAGCTGGGGTTCTTGATGACAGATTTGATGTTGTCGGTACCAATTACGG